CTTATTCTCATTATACTGCAAAGCTACAGCCGCTGAGGCTTTTGATGAATTTCAGTAAAGCATACAAAAAGGGGCGACTGTACTCTGAAATAATCCTTAAGGATTGGGCAAGGGTAGGGTACTCACAGGACGCAGTGAAAATGCTCAACTATCTCGATCGGGTCCAAGTCCTCGCCAGAGCCTGTTGAGACCTATTACAACCGCGAGTTTGTAGGCGTTTATTTTTGTGCATGCAGAAGAGGGACTTATACATTAGACGCCTGTGTGGCCCCACCCCTGCATTGCGTTTGTGTAATAAATTGCAATAAATTTATTTTTGAACCACATCTCGCTAGTTTATTCGCTGTCTGATTACCATTAATCCTACTATGCCTTAGGGTACGTTGGGAGATTTTTTCGGAAATTTTCTCAATTTTTTCGATAACGTTGAGGTATTTAAATGAATTTAAAAAAAGGATTATTTCCATTTTTAGAACATAATGTAAAAATTTAAAGAAAATTAACTTAAAAAAACTATAAAAAATTAAAGATCCTAGAAATTAAAAGAACTTTAAAAAAGTTATTCTCTTTTTAAAATAAAAAAAAGTTTAAAGATTTAATTAAGAAAGTAAACAACAAAGTTCCCAAACATTAAATGAAATAAAAACAAAAAGTAAAATCTACAATAAAATCTAAAAATTTTAAGGAACTTGAGTTCAAAAAAAAAAAACAAAATAAAAAAAAATAAAAATAAAAATATAAGTTTCTTGAAAACTAAATGAAATTAAAAAAACTCTTTAACAGCCAGTTTCGTAGCAATTTAAATGGAAAATGATTTTCTTTATTTCTGTCAATTTCAATATAAAATTCAAAAAATTAAAATCATTTTTCACTTAAATTGCTTTCGTGAAATTGGCTGTAAAGCAATAAAAATTAAATTCAAAAATAAATATAAATAAAATAACTTTTTTTTTGTAATTAAATAGAGAAATTTAATGAAAATTAAATTTAAAAGAATAAATTAAAAAAAGTTAATAAAAAATCCGCTGCCAGAGGACTTGAACCTCGTATACTTCGAATGTCACGGCAGCGCCTTTCTCACTCGACAATTGCGACTGTTGGAGGGCGAGGGTTTTTTTGTTTTTTTTTGAACACTTTCGTGCAAGAATAAACCACAGTTTTCAAACTATCTTGCAAACTGCCTTTCAATTTCTTACAAAAGGCCCAATTATCTTCGCCAGAATTGCCCTATTAGCGGTCCCCAGCTGAAGATTGCGTATGAAGAAGTTGCAGTGTGTAAATGAAACGAGCAACAAAAAATATCACAGGTTTATAAAAATACTTTAGCCATGACTTTAACTGCAAATTTTCTATGCATACATATGCATGTACTTACAATCGATCAAAAAATATACATACATACACATATAAGTAAGGAATATGCTCGAAATATATGTATTGCATTAATGGCGTTCATTTCAAATCTCTGGAATGTCTTCCCATGAGAAACCTTCGCGTTTCATCAAGATTGACGTCAGAATATAACTGTAATAGCCACCTGGGATCAACAATAGAGAGCCAAGAATAAGTAATGGAGACGCACGGTCAACGTGGGTTTGGTCTAAAATTTCCAGAAAAAGGAGTCCAGCTGTTGTCATGCAAATCTATATAAAAATTAAGAAACCATACATTTATTAGTGGACATACATTTATTAGTGGAAACCTTTAGCATAATACCCCCGGACTAGTTTATGTGCATAATTTTTGCGCAGAACATCCGTCGACTTAACCATATCAACTACTAAATCCGAGGCTAATTTGCTAAAGCCAACCCATTAATTAAACGCCAGCTTACCATTCCCATAATTAGGAAAAATATTACAAAATATATAGTCTTCCACGGCAGTTTTGGCTCGTCCTGAAACAGAAACTGTTCTTGGGAATCGTAGCCATAGCTATCAACGTCATCTCTTCCACCATCACTATCCGAATCTTGAATGCTTCCATAAGATCCTCTCCGCCGACGGGGTGCAGGCATTTCCACAAATTATTTGATTTTGTATTACGAGACAATAAAATAAACGATATTTTTTAATTTCCTTCAGTTTTGTAAACAATACCATGGCGCGCCTTGTGATGGGACGATGCGAATACCGAGTACATGAGTACTGAGTAGTATGGGGAAATCTATTCTTTTTGACAAGACTGAGTAAGCATCGCGAATATGTACCAAAAAGTATCGGGTATAACAATATTCCATTATCTATGACAAAAATGTTTAAAAATGACTTAGTTAGTAATACTTACAACATTTTATTTGTCTTTTCGAATAAAATAAATGTTAGAAAAGAAAATGAATAGTCGAATGGAGTGTGTTTTTTGAGGGTTTCACAAGATACCGAATATATTTAATTAAATTGCAATTCTAGCGCTTTACACAAAGTTGCTTGATGAAAGTCCAAGAGAAAAAAAGAAAGATTCTTGGCCTTAACAAGCATGGAACAAAATGGTCGTTGTCAAAGTAAAAACAAAATGTCAGTAGTTATGGCGTTACCAGATTTTTAAAAATATACGTCTTAACATAAATAGTTTAAAGCTACATACATTTGAATAGTTTACTATTCGGTCGCCGCATTCACTCATCCTTCAGATTCGTCGTTAGATGAAGTGTTTTGGGAAGTTGAATTTCCGTGCAACCATATATGTAATACTTCTATATTGATAGTAAGCTAACATCTCAATGTGTAAGCATTCCGAAATCAAAGCGAGACAGTCTAGTACTGTTTTTGTCAATGTATTGTGTATTTGAGTGCCGGTATTGTAAATGTGTCGTGTACATGTTTATTTATAAACGTATGTGTTCCTTTTCTTTCGTACGTGTTTATTGATATATCTGTACTGTAGTGTTTTCGGACGGTACTAGCTCTTACTGCCAATATAGGAGTATTACATATATGCGTGCAACTCGCATTGCAGTTTCTCCCTTGAGGTTGTTGGGTGGTTGTGATGTGGGTTTTAGTTTGGTATTTCGGTTTATCGCTTCATAGGGGCATGACATGAATCCTCTTCGGCTATATGCTCAGATTTTAGCCTGTCCAAGCTGACTCTCGTTACTTTATTGCCTATTACAACGTCGCAGTTTTTGCTAAAGCGTTTCGCGACCTCGAATGAACCATCATACTGCTGTTTCAGTGGCGGTTTGACTGAATCATCCCTTACAAAGACTTAAGTGTAGTTGTTTATGTATTTTTGAATGAAATTTTCTTTCTTGGCGTGGCTCGTTATTGATACGGGTTTCAAGTTAGTTATCGTACTCTCTAGTCGCTTTACGTGTACTGCGGCTTGATGTCGAAAAATTCTCCGGACAACTTAAGGTTTTCGCCATATACCATTTCCGCTAGGGGTGGCATGTAGGTCTTCTTTGAATGCTGTACGAAGCCCTACAAGGTGATGGGAATGCTGTCGACCCAATTGGTGTTGGTGTAATTCATGGTCTTTTTCAGCGTGCGGTGAATTATTTGAAGGCTTCTAGGGGAGGTAATGGTCCAATAATATCGATGTTTTCGATAGTCAAAAACCGTCAATACTATCGATACTGCCATCGATAGTTTTCCAGCTCTAAATGTCGATGTTAAAATGACGAAATCGTTGTCTGGTTACCAGCAAATTTTCAAGCGCAGTTCGGTTGTGCCTCCAGGCTTTCGAATGTTGGCGCGGCATGCATGGCGTTACCGTATTGTTGTTGACTTATTGTTTCATGGGTGGCCAAAAATGTTTCTACAAATTTATAAAAAAAAGTTTGAATAAAAAAAAATACCAATCATTATGTAAGCATAGGACCCCCACAGGTGGGTGGATACAAACTTTGCTTACTTTGCTTACGTAATACTTTAATGACCCAACCTTTTCACTTTATTGGGGTGTCGTTGCCTCTGAAAAGGATACGCCGGAAAACATAGCAGCTTTTGCTTTTGTTGAGTTTATTGAATAAACCTTAAGAATAAGTGAGAGAATAAAACTCCTTAATAATTCTCTATTGTGCATCTTCACAACTGTCTGGTTTTAAGGTTATCTGATTATGTGGATATTTTTTTATTCAGTTTACAAATACACTATAGAATAGCAATTTTTAACTAGATAGCCACACTAATGTGAGCACCCACAATATCTTTTAATGAAAAAATAAAAATCATAAAATAATCATTATTTTTTATCGAAAAAAAATCAAGTAATAATATTTTTGGAGCGAAAAATAAAACTCAAATACTATTTTTTTTTTATTCTTATTGGTTTTCCGTCCTTGTAAAGTATTCATAATAAATGTCTCACATACAAATAAATTTATTTTTAAATCATAAAGACTATATTCCAAACCACTGTGCTATGGGCAAATGCACTCATATACATACATACATATATATGTATATTAATGCATATGTATATGCACATATTAGAACCTCGTTCACATTTCCATACCTACATAAAAACTGTTTGTTAGTTTTCTCACTCAGCTGTTCTGTCTGACTCAACTGTCTGTCTGCAACTGTTCGAATGTCTGCGCCGCGACAGATTAATGATTCGTATTAATTTTTTAAATTTACCTAAATACTCGTACTACATACGCACATACATACATACGTGTAGCTTGGTTATAAATTCCAAATGCTAAAATAAACGACAACTGCCAATTTTTCAGCAATTAGCCAAGTGGCACGCAGGCCCATCAGCACACCGCCGACAACGACGACCAACAAGCAATGAATAGCTTGATAGCTGCTGATACATACATAGTTGCTAAAGCAGTTGAGCGTAATTAATAAAGTCACCAGTCAGCAGCAAATGTACGCAATCTCGCTGAAGAACGGCAACACATGCAACAATGGCAGACGTTTTTGTGGGCGGGCCGAATGAAATTGATGCAACTAAAAAGCGCATTAAATGCAATGCAATGCAATG